AGCATTTGGAATGAAAGCAGCTTGACAAACAAACACTTCCCTGCAGAACATTTATGCCACTGTGTGACTACAGGCATCCCTATCCCAGAACTAGTCATGTTTCCAAGTGGGTATTAGTTTTGCCTAGTGATGACAAGCCATGCCAGTAATGACAACAGTTCATGAGATACCGATTTATTTTGCCTCTCTTGCTGGTAATAAAGAATGAGAAAGTCTTCTGAATGTGGACAGGGAGGAAGAAGTAAGAGGCAGGCAAGGGACAAAACAGATAAATGTTATCCTAACACTGCTGCAAGTCACTTAGATTATAGTGAAGTATTCCTTTTTCTACAAAACTGAATTTAATAAATGAAAATAATAGTTAAATTATTGTTCTGGTATTCTAAACTTTCCAGATGTTCTTTTGCCATTCCATTCTTTCCAAATTCTATTTGATTTGAAATATTGCTATAAAGAAGCTGCATTTGTCTGTCCACAGCTTAGGTGCAGCATGGGGGACTGCCAAACCGGTTTTTCAAGCTCCCTGTTTTTATGGCATTTCCATGTTTATAAGTAACCCATCTCTAGTATGAAAAGAATTACTTCTGTTTCCATGTTCATTAGATTCTGCTTTCTGCAACACAGGCTGCTAGTTCTGTATTACCACAATCAGGGCCAGATATTTTGGAGGTCACAAGCAGTCTTCTCCAAAGTAGACAAAGATAGGACCTTTACTACTAATCAGTCACTTCTGTACTAGGAACCTAGAAAGATTGTCTTTATTTCTATACATCTTATCCTGGTATATGTCTGTGGAATATGGTATCCATTTTATTCTCTGGAGTAGCCAAAGATTCATTATCTGGGGACAGTCAAAGAAAATGTATCACTTCAAACATGAATCAGTGGCCATAGTGTAAAGAATAATTCAGGTATAAAAGTGACTGATAAAAATATTTTTTATGTCACTTCTTTTCTTTTTCTTTCCTCATCTTTTTTCTCACCCCTTTTTTTGCTCCTTTTTATCACATTATTATTGTTTGCGTTCTGGTAACATGTAAAGGCCTAGTCTGAGGTTTTGTTGTGGTAGATGATGTATAAAATGGAAGGTAAAACCACATCTCATTAAAGACAGCATGATTAACCCTAATGTGGCCAAGATTTTAGGGAACGTGCTAAGAGATGGTGCCTGTCCTGAAATTCAGAAACTCAGATAAAAGCAGGAATAAATAATGTAAAAATTGTTACTGTATGTTTCTTAATATTTAATTCATGTATAAATGCTTATGTTTCCTGTTGATGATCTGATTCTTTTCTCTGCCTAAAGAACAGAGCTTCTTCATTCCCTGCACTGTCATTAAAGAACAGTCTCTTTTGGAACAAAAAACCTGTTTGAAATGAATGAAGCTGTAACATTTTTAGATGCATTCTGTGGTGTTCTCTGACCCAGTACTGTCCCTGGAGTCTAGGCTGGAATCCAGCTTCCAGGGAGGAGTTGTCTGCCATATATCCACAAAAAGTGAACATTCTTCTCTAACCTGCTTTTAGTTTTAAATCATCAAAGTCATGACAAGCTGAGCAAATGCAAAGCATCTAGGAAGTGAGTCAGTCTACACCCTCAGAAGCTAAAAGTGTTACTTTGAGAACAGCCTCAGCCTTTAGGCTGAAGTTTAGACTTTGCCAACTAAGCCATTAGGGCAGCCAAACTGTGCTGCTTTTGCAATAATCTTAAATTCTGACCAAGCTCTTAATTCTGAAAATCAAAACCTCCTCCTGCAATTGCAGTGTGAAGAGTAACTAGCTGATAGAGCATCAGTTGCCACAGAGATAATTACCAACTTCCTCCTCTTTTCTCACCTTTCATTAGTAATACGTTTTTATTTTATCTAATATTTGAGGTTTATTTTTTATTAGACTTTTCTGAAAACATTTTCAGAAAGAAGTAAAACACCTACCTCTTTGCAGTTGCATATATGTTTTCTTTAAAAATTTCAGTAGTCACTTTCCACCTTTGTCAGTACTATAATTATCACAATAAGAAAAAAATACATACTTTGTAAAACTTGTTGAAATTGTTTAGATAGGGCACAATACTGTCTAAATATCTGATTGACAGGATGAAGTACCTAAGAACAACCAGTTTGAAAGCTTGTTCTTATGTGTTTCAACTTGTAAAAGCTCACTAAGCATATGTGCTTTTTGTATCATTAGCGCCTCATTTCTGAGCTAAAAAGGTATGAGACTTTCTGGTTCCCCACATAGAATTACTAACAGCAGTATTTTCTTGTAATGTTTTATATACTGAATATAATTCTGTAGTTCCAAAATAGTTAGAAGAACATGGAGGTTATATTACTTTAGTTTTTTGCAGAAATTAATCTTGCAGATGCTTTTGTGGTGGCCTATGGGTCAAGTTGCAAACATTCCTCCAGACATCAAGCACAAAGAATATCAACTCTTTGGCTGCTTTTTCAAGTCCTTCAAGTATGGACTTGCTTAAAGCAGATGCAGTCAGAGCTTCTTGGCCTTCCTAGGATTGTTGTAATTTATTACTCAAGTAAGAATTGTTTTCTAAAATAACCTTTATCTGAAAACAGATCATGTATGGTGGTTGTTTTTTTTCATTCTATCTCAATTATATCCAGATTTTAAAAAAACGCAAAACACCAAGCCAACAAATCAAAACCAAACCAAACCAAAAAAACCCCAGCCTTTTATCTTGATAATTGTAAAGGTACTCTTTGCCTGCTCTAGGATTGAAAGGTTAGGCCAAAATTGTGTTAGAAAGGGCTAAAGACAAACTCCTTAGCCACAGTGAATAAGTACCTTTGTGAAAGTAAAAGATGGAAAATCATCGTATGAATTCAAATATGTCTTCTTTTCTTTGCTGTGAGTAGAGTAGCTGAATAACTAATGACAACTTTTGCATCAATAATAATTTGCTTTTTTTTAATTTGTCACCAACTCCCTAATGCTCACATACTAGTTACAGTTTTTATAGTATTGTTTCAAAAGATGGAACAACCATTACATGATATATTTGATTTTTCTCAAATTATATAACTGTCTCAGTTAATGTTTCGGTGTTGACTTCCTATGTTTGCAACTTCTTATAGTTTCACAATAAATATATTCTCTGTCAAAAGATGGTATCTTTGATATGCATGTTCCAAACCTTCTGCCACCAAAGGACAGAGCCTCTGAAACCATACTCACCCCTAAACTGGTTGTACATGCAGGTCGCTCAGCAGAACTACTGTTCCTTTTTGCAATAAGAAACTGACTGCGGCTGCAGCCTCCTGTAAATGCTGAACACCTGTAGCAGGGTACTTAACTTAGAATAGTATTAAAATAGTTCTGCATCTCACATTTGCCACAAACCTGTCTTCTTTTATGTGCATGCATGTTAGTATACAAATTGCCAAATTGGTGTCAGTTGTAAAGTAATGGCATTGGAGGCATCATAAATTACCATGGTGATCCTCAGGAAAAGGCACTGCCGTATATGAATGAGTGTTTTGCTCTCAGGGTAACGTATGTCTTCATCTGGCCCAGTAGTCAGCATATTGCCCTGTGTTGATGGATATAGTCAGCTTGAAACTACCCTACATCTCAATGCACAATAAACATGGCTGTCAACACCATATAAAGCAAAATCAATTTATCCTGTATGGTCAGTGCATTTTAAATGAAATTAATGTACTGTGGACCTGGTGGCAAAAAGGTAGTGTATTAGTTATGCATCCTCTGTTTTAGGGCTTTTTTCATGTAAATGTATTTCCTACATAGATTTTTTTAAATAGTATACCTAACGCACAGTGTTTTTCCACTAAATTAAGAAACTTAGGTTTTGCACAGTTAAAAACTTGTGAGTTTTTATTTTTTACTATAACTAATCTTATATTATTTGGCAAATAAATCCAGGTCAGGGGCTGTTACGGTTTATAAAAAAAGTGGGCCTATTGTGGTGCTAGCTTGTCATCAAGTATTTTGCTTTTCCAAGGTATTGAATTATATGAACACTTTGATGAGGCCTAAGACTAAGTAAGTCGTTCTCCCACTGTAAAGACTTTTTGCCTTTCTTTTATAGCTAAGGTATAACCCTAAAAATAAATGTTATCATCACAATTACAAACATTTTTCTGGTGAAAGCATGCCTTATCTAGGCTTAGTATTAGTGATATTAAAAGAAAGAGAGAATTCTCCTATATTAACTAGTTCTATACCTCCTGCTCAGTTCTGTGAACTCTAAACCCCCATGAAGCCTTGCTGTTTGTGGTCAAGAAGCAGGAGTGGATGCATTCAAAAAATCAGTTAAAATTAGCATGTACATGTTGAATTGATAGTGGGTAAAGACAGGACACTGGGGTACATTAAAGCACAGCAGGCATGAAGAAGCTGGAGTGCTTGTCTCCCATTCCGGAAGCTCCAGGATGCTGTGCATGTGCCAGTTGAAGGCAGATGGTTACATATATGTGTTCAAATGCTCCAAGACATGTCTAAAATTCAACTAAAGAAGACATGACTTTAAAATGTTCACGTCCAAATATAACCAGATCTATATAATTAGCAGCATGTACCTGGTGTTCCATATAATTTATTTTATGAAATATTTGGCATGTGCTTCACAGCTCAAGCAACAAAGTCATTGTAAATTACTTGTGTGAACAAGTATACATCAATTTGGATTCTCAAGTGTAACTTTCATGTGAGTTTCATTGAGCATTCAGAACACATATGTTATGTTAAAGTCCCAAACAGAAACTTTTTCAAATCTCCATGCCTTAACTGGAGAAATAACAGTGCAATTTGTTTCTTCACTCAGATTTCAATGCCTTCAGCTGGGTGAGCCTGATCAATTACATTGAAATCACTGGCTATCCTTTCTCTCTTATAGATCTGGCAGCAAAAAGAGAGAGAAAGCAAATAAGGCTAAAATAAACACAGCACTGAAAGCTCTTGCATAATCCACATAATAATGTTTTGCATCCATCTTGTTTCTTCCTGCCCTGACGTTACAGGGAGTAAAGCAATGAATGGCTCTGCAGCTAAACTACAGCAGTATTATTGTTGGCCAACAGGAGGTGCCACTGTGGCTGAAGCTCGAGTCTACCGGGACTCTCGGGGCCGAGCCAGTAGCGAACCGCATATCAAGCGACCAATGAATGCTTTCATGGTTTGGGCAAAGGATGAGCGTCGAAAAATTCTTCAAGCCTTCCCTGACATGCACAACTCCAACATCAGCAAAATCCTAGGTAAGTGCAACACAATGAACAAATCATGACCGTTACTGAATCAAAAATAAGGGAAGCTAAGAAGGCTCTGCTATAGCAGTGACAATTTTCTGGAGCTGTGGAAAGATGAGATTATTTATATTGGTGACACAGGCTAGTTACTTCCTTCTTGGATATGCAACTTCTCTAATTTTAGGACATATTTTGTTTGGGAGGGGTTCACTGAAATTAGAATTACTGAAACTTATACAAATGAAGAGTCATGGGTTATTTTCATTTTCATTCCCTTCCTTTTTCCTTTCTGCCCCTTCCCTAATGCTTTTTATTTTCACCAGCAAAGTCATAACATGCTTTAAAGACTTAGCAGCATTCAAAAGGAATGTTTTGTGAAATCTGTTGCAAAAGTGTGTCCTGATAAAAGGTCTAATTGCAAGATCTCATTAGAAATCACCTGAACTACTAATTACCTGAACGCAAAATGGTACTTGCTAGAGTAAATACTGAGAAAAAATTAATAAAGTACAAAATCAAAATCAAAGGTTTATGTCAGACAGTGCAGTGTCAAAGAAAGAGACCTGGCACAGTTCAAAAGACATGTACATGCGTATCTTCTCACATGCAAAATGATGTTTGATTCAAAATGTTGCAGTGTTCAAAAAGCTAAGGAAGCGCTAGTATCATATAATTAAAACACTGCTTAGTTAAAAAACACCATAGTTAATATTTAATTTGTGTAAATTAAGATGATCAGGGAATAAACCATGGATTATATTTTGCCACTGTATAAATAAATTGGTTCATTTTTGAGAAATTTTGATTTGCTTTTTAGACCCCTCTGGAGAATTAGAAACATGCGTGAGAATGAGTGGTGAAATGTTAAAACCTATATTTGCTTTCTGAGTCTTTGAAGTAAAAGACAGATTCCAAATGTAACTCATAATAAATAAAAGTAAAAATCAAGTTTCCTCTGTAATCATTTTATTGTAAACTTTGAGCTCAAATACATTCTTACCCAAGTTTGTTGCATGTTAGTTCAATCAGAGGCAAGAATACATGAAAATAAATGTTACTTCATCCTAAAAGTTCCAAAATCTTACTTGGTACTTCTCATATTTTTGCCTACCATATAAGTAAGTTATATGAATAGCCTTTCAGTTTTATATAAAACCTGCACTGTTTCAGTGTTGGCAGCTGTAGGGAATCTATATTATGTGTGTGCATTCTGTGAAAAAACTATTAGGAGCATAGTAACTGTATTCATTAAAATGTAAACTTCCAGCATAAATATTTCAGAAGTGCCAGCAATTGAGTGTGTGTTAACCATGGAATTAACCTGTCAGTATCTGCTCTGCCACAAATAAGTCTATGTCCATATAATATCTGTGCAACTTTTCCAGGACAATGAGAAAAGAGACTGAAATATTAGAACTGACAGAGAGTATTTCTGGCTACGGATAATATTTATACAACTTTTCCATTTGTTGATGTATGAAAAATCTTGGTAAAAGAATAGCTTCCACCCACGTTTACCACAGCTGTAATCGTTTTATTCATCTAAAAGACACAAAAAAGCTATTTTCTGCATTTCTTATCCCTTGGAAAAAAAGAAAAAAAAAATCCTTCTCTATTCAAGTGTTTAGATAGATCCTTATAAACAATACAAGAGATCTGAATATTTTCTCCTCTTCCTGTGTACTCTGTGTTTTTTAACTTTTTAATTGGTGCAGCTTTCAACGAGACTTTATAGTACCTGAAGTGGTATATATAATTACAGTGTGCTTTCTGTTTTTCCTTTTTTACAAATACAAGTTTGTTAAATGTAACTTTCTCAGTGCAGTTCTGTGCATTTATTACATCTGGCTAGAAGACAATATGCATAATAGGAATTAAAATATGGTAAGGTGCCAATATTATGCTGTCGTATAACCCCAGCTGGCAACTAAGCACCATGCAGCCACTCATTCACTCCTTTCCTGGTGGAAGGGGGAAGGTACTGGTAGAAGTGAGAAAACTCGTGGGTTGAGGTAAAGACCGTTTAACTGATAAAGGAAAAGCCGCCTGCACAAGCAGAGCAAGATAAGAAATCCATTCTCTGCTTCCCATGGGCAGGCAAGTGTTCAGCCATCTCCAGGAAAGCAGAGCTGCATCACATGGAACAGTTACTTGGGAAGACAAATGCCATCATTCTGAACATCCCCTCCCTTTCTTCTTCTTCTCCCAGCTTTATATGCTGAATGTGATGTCGTAGGGTATGGGATATCCTTTTGGTCAGCTGGGGTCAGCTGTCCTGGCTGTGTCCTCTCCCAACTCCTTGTGCACCCCCAGCCTCCTCACTGGTGGGGTGGGGTGAGGAGCAGAAAAAGGCTTGGATCTGTGTAACCACTGCTCAGCAAGAAGGAAAACATGCCTGTGCTATCAACACTGTTTTCAGCACAAATCCAAAACAAAGCCTGTACTAGCTACTATGAAGAAAATTAACTATCACAGGCAAACCCAGCACATTTGCCAAGCTTATATCATAAGATTAGTAAATTTTAGACACAGAGACAGCAAGGGATTTTTCATAATTTTGTTGAGTCTATAAGGTTTTGATAATTTTTTCTTGCTACATAGCAAGGTATTAATATCTATTAGTAGGAGTCTATAAACCAAATCCTCATAAAACTATCAAAGAAGCATGTATCCCCAGGCAAAGTGTTAAGCTTCTAACAGCAAAAGTATAGATGTAGACCTTACTTAACCATAATACTGTGTGGTATTACAAAGGCATAGAATTATTCACAGATTAATGCTCATATTGTAAAAAAAATAAATAGTCTGTTTTTCAGCATGAGGCTGATGTGTTGAGAAATAACTATTGATTTTAAGTGCCACTATTTTATAGAAATTTACATATGTTTGATCTGTAGCAGTATCTGAAAGTCAAGGTTCTTTTAATGTGTCTCAGATTGTGCATCCCAGTATATGTGCTGTCTGATGTAAATTCAAATCAGTTTATTTAATTAACTTATTTAAAATTTGTTTATTATGAGGAAAAGGCATGTTGCAATGTGTATGTGTAAAGCACTCACTAGTGTTTTGTGTTAACAGGATCTCGCTGGAAGTCCATGTCAAATCAAGAGAAACAACCTTATTATGAAGAGCAGGCACGGCTAAGTAAAATCCACCTAGAAAAGTATCCTAATTACAAATACAAACCTCGACCAAAACGTACCTGCATTGTTGATGGAAAGAAATTGCGTATTGGTGAATACAAACAACTGATGAGATCTCGAAGACAGGAGATGAGGCAGTTTTTTACCGTAGGGTGAGTAGTATTGTTGTAATTGTTTTCAAAGACAGAACATACCATTTGAAAACAAATAGACTTATCTGTTTAAGTCACTGACTAATGTAATTTAGAAGGTAAGGATTTGAACCTGCAAAATCTTATTAAAACGTAAGATATATCATGGAATATGGAGCTATCAGCTTGCCACTAAATGTTGATTATGAGACTGATTATGGAATTCTTTGAAGTCAAAAAAAGTTGTTTCCTATTAGCCTGAAAGGTTTGATTCATGTCTTTTGTGAGTTATTAGAAAGCTAATCCATTCTGGGTTAGTAATGACTCTAGGATAATTTCCTAAATTAAGACAAGAACAAAAAGAAAAACACAAAAGAATATTCCCACATAGAATAAGGAGTCAGGAGAGGGAGGAAAGAGAAAAGGAACAGGAGTAGTAGCAGTTACATTAGGAACACACATGGATGAATGATATCATAGCATGAGGCTATTAGGAATTCTGTTATATATAGAACTGTGGAAAAGTATATTTTAAAAAGAAAGGTTTTAGGAAGAGTCTTTCAAGTAATGCATAGATAGAGTGGTTAGATTTACAATTTGGAATACATGGCTCAAAAAGATCCTGACAAGTTTTAAAAACTGTGTGCTTTTTAACAGCATTTCCTCTAGTCTTCAGCAGAGAAAGCAGCACTATGAAAGGTCTACAGGCGAAAGATAACAAAAGTCCAGTGAAACAACTGCACCATAACTGATTGCTGTCTCCTGTTTTTTTATGAATCAATCTGTGATGCTCAGTGCTCTAACACAATATTGCTGGTGGTTTGCAAAGAGTCTAAAAGCTATCTCCAGTGCGAGGCTTTCCAAATTCACAATGTTCTGCTTATTTCTCTAATCACAATAGTCTCCTTTTGTTGAGTGCTTCACTACCAGATAATTGACCTTGACGTCAATTATGTGCCCTCATTTTTGGCTTGAGATGCAGAACTCCTGTTGCAGTCAATTATTTTGTGGTTCAGCCTGTAACAATGTGGGCTCTTTCTACAATCAGTAAATAGAAGTGTTTCTGGTATCTTGAAATAGCCTTGCATTCTATAGTGTTGTCATTGTTTTTTATGCTTCACTCTAAGGGAAATTGTTTACTAATAAGCTTCCATCAAAACTGTGAAAAGAACTCTAAACGGAAATCTGAATTTATATAAGACATCACAATCATATTCATATTGAAGGAACGAAACTCTATCTTATGTCTTCCAAAGCAGATTGACAGACCAAATCATATCTAGACAAGAAATGCAAAAGAAATGCCAAAACAGCAGTCTGGACAATTTGAGAATTGTTTGCGAATTCAAAAGAGTATTAAGCAGTAGCATTTTGCACACTGGAAGTGGTGGCTAAATATGGAGGTGAATACAGAAAAAGGATTTTAGAAACTCCTAAAAGTGCCTACTTAAAGAGTGATATTGTGATTAAAAAAAAAAAAAAAAGAAAAAGAAAAGAAAACAATGAAAAGTATTCAAAATTTAACTGCTGGTGCAAGCTAAATGTAGCATCTTTCTCATATATCAAACAGTATGATCACAAAGACCACAAGAATGTCATCATTTTCTTAAAAGGATTAGTTCTAATTCATATTTATGCTAAGTCCTCTCTACCATGCTCTATTCATGTAGAAGAAGTTTTAAAGTAAGAGTAAACTAACTCTGTGGACTTACATAATGATGCAGTAAAATTACTTTTAGTTATGCAAAAAAAAAGGGAGTAGGAAGTCTAATGGATGCATTCAGTAAAGGTGAAATGAGATCCATGTTGCAGTTCCACATGAATATAAATTTTGATAATGAGGAAACACAGGCTGTGATTTTAAAAAAAATATTTCATGCTTTTCTGATTTCCCACTGTTGCCCCAAATTCCCTTTTCCCTCAAGAAAAAAATCAAAACAAATTCTTGAAAGAGATCAAGCAAAAAAGGTGAAAAAAACAGAGTAGGGTAGTTTTGGGGTTTTTTGTTTTGGTGGTGGGTTTTTTTTCCAACTGAAACATAAAACATGGCATAATTTATTTCAGCACAATAGTTTACTGAGTAATAAAAAGCAACATTTCATCCAAATTGCATTATAATTAAGTGAAACGTGGTAACTGAGCCCATCAACTTCTCAAACTTACTCTTCCTTGTGTTTAATGTAAATATCACATAAAGCATCAGCTGGAACAGTTTTCCTAGCTGACTTCCTACACCCATCGTTTTACCTCTGTTTTGATGGAACAAGCAGCATAAGCCATCCTTCAGCCTTGAGAGCTGAGATGCAGTTTCCTTTTCACAATGAAATAGGAGACAAATGTGGGGTTTAGAATTGAATATACTCTATGTTTACAGTAAATATTTCATTGTAAGATAGAGAACAAAAGTACAAAATAGACTCAAATGAAACATGCCAATTGCCAGTTTTTTCCCTCTCTCTTTTTTAAGAACATACTGATTAAGCTGGGAATGGGTATGTCAAAATGGCAAAAAACAAAACAAAACAAAAAAAAACCAACCCCAACCAAAAAACCATCATAGAATAGAAAGATAAGTAGGAGATGTGTGAAGAGAAAGGTAAACCTCCAAAACAGGTAGCTAAAGGAAAATATAAATAGCAAGAAATATATAAATATAAAAA